TACAAAATAATTGTTACAATATCTTCATATTTTCACAAAAGTCATATTAATGTATTTTTGTTCGTTTTTTTTTACAAATATTGTGAATTTCTATTCTATTTCATTACTATCAAGACATTTTCATAGGGTTACTCTGTCTGACCCATATAAAGCATATATTTTCATTTTAAAAAGTCAACATATCTGATATTTAAAAAATAAAAAACACTGTTTTATATATATATATACATATATATATATATATATATATAGATAGATAGATAGATAGATAGATATAGATATATAGATATATATAGCATTCTTTCAAACATGATGAAATATAACTTTTTTTATTTGGCAATCAAAAGTGTTTCATATTAATAGTATTTTATAAAAATGGCTTCACTGTTGTTTTAAAAAGATTGTAATATAAAAAAGATCAAACTATTTTTTAAAACCATTACTTTCAAGCATGTTTATAAAATATAATTTTTTTCTAAATCTGAAATTGAAAACATGTTAATCACAGAAGGGATATCAAAGTCATTTGTGAAATGACCTGCATTTTTATAAAACTATGGAGAAAACAAATATGATGGCTTTAGCAAAATAATATTTTATACTATGCTGGTTCACATCATTTAACAGTATTCACACACAAACACCTGCATCATTATCAGGTCTAAAGGTCAGGGGAATAAATGAACTTATTTGGATTTTCACATGAGGTTCGGTACAACTGATTATGGACCACAAAATCCACCATCATGACCACACATGCAACTGAAATCATTGCTAAAGCAAATAGTAGCATGTCTCACTCTGGTCACCTGCATTTCCTCCACTGCACACACTGCAGTCTATTGGATCCAGCCAACCACAAAATATAGGATGACTGATACAATCAGATGAAGCTGTAATTGACAGTAAAAGTGGACACCATATCTGTTTGTGTGCATGTGTAAGAAAGGGTCCTGATGGGGAATACAGTCAGGCACGTAAGCCAAAGCAGAATCACAGTGGATAGCATTAAACAGCTACTCCATTATTATTCACACAAACACAGTTAACAGCACTGATTACCCCAGTAAATTCAGTTATGAACATGGGGCCTGTTTTTGGCATTAGTGTAGTAATGGAAATCACCCAACTACATAATCAACCACTCAGCACCTATATGTACATACAAGCATGTTACGATATTAACATGCATGGAGGCGATGGAGTGTGCCTTGACCTCTTCAAATAGTTCATAATGAGATAGTTTACAGCTTTACACAGTCTGTTAAAATTTCTGTCTGGCTCCTGAACAAAGCCCAGTCCACTCTCTGCTTTAATTACACTGTAAAAAGTAATGAGTTGAACTTACTTGGAAAACCTGTGGAAACTGATTGCCTCAAATTTCTCAGGCAAATTAGTTTATCATTTTTGAGTTAATAAAACTTACTGTAACTTTGTATAGGTAACTTGTGTATAAGTATAGGTTACCAGAAAACTTGAGTGTTGGTAACTCAATTTGACAAGTTCAGCCAACTTAGAGATTTAAGTTAAGCTTAGTGCACAGAACTCAAACAAAACAGTTCTCTTAACAAGTCTGCTTTGTTCACATTACTAGACAAAGATAACTCTAACATCTGAATTTCATTAACTATGCTGCCAATCATTTCAGCTCAACTGAGTAAAATGACACATAGGCTCTATAGCCAGCTCTTTTTTCTCTGGTGAGGGGTTATTTTCTGAGGGATTTCTCTTACTGCTGTTCTTTAGAAGCTGAAAGGGTTTGTTGTTGTTGAACGATCACACAAAGGTCAAGGCAGAGACACTGCGCATAATCAGGCAGATGGCACTTCGCAGAGAATTCGTTATGTGTAAGTGGATTACATCTCTGTAGTTATGATGGATAAAAGGGTGAAAAATATCAAAGTATGCTCTAACTCACATATGGCCATTTTAGCACTAATTGTAGCCTCATTAGCAGTGTAATCGAAGTCAAATATCACTATTATTATTGTTCCATAATTTTGGACAATAAAAAAATATATTAGAGATGCTGGACTAGACTTAAAATCTTTTTTTGATGATTTGAGCAAAAAAATATAATAAAAATAGTGAAATATGTACACTACAATTCAAAAGTTTTTTTTAAGAAATTGAAACTTTATTTTGAAATTTTAGGAATAAACGTTAAAATGATTACATTTTGACATAATTTAACCTTGTTATGAGTGCATTCTAAGTCAAATGTCACTATTACTATTGCTCGGAATTTTAACAATGAATAGATAAATTAGAGAATATTAATATTAGAGCTGAAGTAGCCTGAAAAACATTTTCTAAATGATTTGATTTTTTTAAAAAAACTATTTGTGATCAAATTTATTAGTGATTTGCAATATAAGCTCTACTGTTCAAACGTTTGTTGTAGGATTTTTTTAAAGAATTAAAACTTTTATTTTAGTTAAGTCTATTATAATGTTACATAAGATTACTATTTCAAATAAATGCTGTTCAGTATTACAGTTTCTATATTTTTGATCAAATAAATACAGCCTTGATGAGAATAAGAGTCTTCTTTCAAAAACTGTATCTAGAACATAGAATTTCACCATTTAACTAGACTGGAACTGTAGTTGCATGACTTTTTTGACCAAGTAACCACCCAAAACACACAACATGCTAAACACCTTAGCATGCCATCTACACCAAAACACCCTAGCATGGTGATGGTGGCTTTTGCTCTTATATTTTCTTCATTGTGCCTATATAGCGCCACAGATAAATCCCTTTTCTCACAGAATTTCATTTCTCATATTGAAGCAAACAGACAACAGAATTAATTGTGTACTATATGATGCATGGCCCAGTTGCTCAAGTGGACTTTAAGTAATTAAGCATCCTCTAACCAAATGCAGAGGATTTGCAATTTTATGCCTAAATTAATTACCAATACCATTCATGGAACATTTATTTGCAATCAGAACAGCCGAGTGAGACAATGGACAACATAAATTATAATATTAGCCAACAGTGACCAGCAATATCCAGAGTCGGTTTGTAATGGCCAGCGGCTGGCCCGAGATTTATAGCACCATATTCTGTAAACTTGTTAATTGTGTCAAACAATAGATTGCCTCAGGAGAAGATCTGTAAGATTAATCACACTAGTTGATCACTGTCCAGAGGTTGTTTGATATGTTTGTGTGTCATCTCTAAGTCTGGCTAAATTGAAGTGGTTTATTTATGCTGTAATGGTCAGCTGCTTGTTAGGATGCTGCAAATTGGAATTTCCATTTTAATGAAAGGACTTGGAGGAGCATATCTCAGTGCTGTTAGTTTGTTTTCAACCTTAAGTACCAGTTTTAGAGATTAATACAATTCAGAAAGTCAAAGACACTATTAAATTGGGCCTACGCAGACTACTGTCTTTATCTAAATTTTGGAGAAGTCTGTAAAAAAAGCTGAACAACATAAGTAAATAATAAAATTAATCATTTTAAAGGAACAATTTTCCATTATTTATTTATTGATTTTATTTTATTTTTGTTATCAGTGATAAAAACAGTTATTTTTGAAGTACAAAATATTGTGGAAAAGTACAAAGGTCAAAGTTCAGCAAAAGAAAAGTCTGTTCAAATGTGGGTATTGTGTCATTCCATCAAATAAAATAGTTTAATGTTTCACTGTATTGATTTTATTGGGAATAGAATGTATTTATTTTATTCAAAATACTTTGAGAAGTTACTGACACCATTTTCGTGGAAATAAAATACAGAACAAAAGTTTAGTTGTTCTTTGTTAGTGATCATGCTACTAAATACTTAATATCAGTTTTTATGGGAGAAAACTTAACTGAATTCAAAACGTTTTGTAAGTCGATTTTGTGCATCGAATGATCCAAAAATTCTAATTTAAACTCAAACTGTGTAGATTTACCACTAAACTGAACTTAAAGTAAATCTATATCACACTAAAAAAAGTGCAATGTGCATTAACGCATATACATTCTTCTCTAAAAAAAAATGCTAAATGATGCTGCAGCTTGTGATGCTGAGGTGACATTAAGGAACGTGTTCTCACACGAGGAGAGAATGGCCTGTAATTTTCTTGCATCTCCAAATGCTCCCAATTAAATTCTAAAACAGCAGGATCCTTGTACACACCCACTGTGCCACTGCTCTTCTGAACCACTGCAGGCAGCTGAAGAACCAGGTGTGTGTGTGTGTGTGTGTGTGTGTGTGTTACACCCCAGGATGTCCAAGTAATAGGCTCATAAATCTACTCATGCATAAAGCAAAGCAGATCTCGCCGCCATCGGACCTTCCATGCCTACACCTGCCGTCCTGAACACAGAAGCCAGTCGCCCTCGAGAGGCTCGGTCTGTGGAGTGGTTCATTCAGGCCTGTTTTCGATGAAATCATAATTTTGCTCATACAAATATCCACATGCACAAGCACTTAATCTCTCACAGCTTTGCATTACTGTTCGAGAATTAAATTCATATGAAAAATATTTTTTTATTAAAAAAATCATATGATTCGTGAAGTTCTCATAATAAGCAATTAGTAAAAACATGAAAACTTAACGCAAAACAAAAACCTCATTACCATAGTGCAAAAAAAATTGTCCAAATTACTGTAATGCAAAGAAATCTAATTCTCAGTACTATTATGCAGAGAAGAATATTATTCTCATTGCATTACAAAAAATGTATTCACATTACTATACTGCAATGTTGCCATCGCTGTAATGCAGTCTAATTCTCATTACTGTAATGATTATATATTTTATTTATATGTATTTAAATTGTAAATTATTTATTATTTACCAACATTTTTAACATTACTATCTCAACTATTATATTATGATTTGACAAAAATAGGAATCAAAAAAACATTCACATTTATTAAAGTAATGAAAACTTAATGTGGAAAATGCATGATTATATATGAGCTTGGAATATTCATAAAGGAACTTGGCAAGCTTAAAACACCAAATTTCTAGGAGCAATTTATGCAGTTTATGTATTACATATTAAGATCACTCCACACCATGCCGTTCTTCCATGGTTATGTTGCTTTGAGGAATTATTGGAAGATGGTGGTGATGGTGATGACGACGACCATGGTGACGATGACCATGTCCATGTTGATGATGTCCATGTTGATGATGTCCATGGTGATGGTGACTATGGCTGCCATAAGGAAGAAAAGAGTGATGATGGTGGTGGCGGCTGTGGTGATGGTTCCTGCGGTGATGATGAACACCATGCTCATGACGTCTGTGTCCATGATGTGAATGCAGAATCACCTTTGATTCAACAATCGCTCGTTCATCCTGAGTAAGGTGTGCACATATGGAGTTATAGAAGACGTCCAGATCTATGAAGACAACCGCTATAATACCAAAACCTTTCTGAAGCACCTGGAAATGAATAAATGCAGCATAATTTCTTGTGCTTATCTTCTGATTATCCATCTAGTAGTTTACATTTCTACATTATGTTACTGCTTTACAAATACACTTCACTTACCTCCTCGACAAGACTTTGCTCATCTGAGAGACTTGTTAAAGTAATGAACCACTCTTGTCCACTTTTAATGGCCTGACACGCCTGGAAGGATAAGCGTTTCAGATGATTAAACAATTTCGCTTAAGCTCTCCCTGAAGAAGCTAATAATTAATGCTAAGCTAATACCATCTGCAGTTATAACCTACCTGATCGCCCAGGTATAAGCCCAAAACGTGGATGTGATCCTTCTTTCCTGTCTCTGTATTCATGTCATCATGCTTGAGGTGATCCCTATGGTGATGCCTTTGTCGTGACCGGCATAGAAAAGCAGGCATAGCTAGATTGAGCTTTCGTAGGTCAACTTGCTGGTCCTGCCAGTGTTGGACAGAAATATGAGGTAAACCCAGTTAGAATGCTAACATGCTAACAGATGAATGTGATTTACCCAAATATGACACGTCTTCATCCTTGCTGGTTCTGGAATAACATTCAGATGAAGATCTCAAGAATTATAGATGCAACAAAAGTTTTACAGACCAATCATTTTTCCTTTTTGGAAGTAGTTTTAGTGGTAGAAATGGTGTTAGGTCTATTAGTTATGTTTTTCCTGGACCATAAAAAGAATGTGGATCCAGGAATATGATCTACTAGAATTAATCACCTTATGTGGGCTGCATTTTTGTAGGCCAAAACCCGGAAATGAGTTAGCATTTTAGCATTTAGCATCGTCCTGAGCTGTTTCCATTGTCCTAAAGTAAATGGGTTTTTTAAACGAGTTTTTGCTTAGATGCCTAAAATAAGGTCTGTGGTGAACAAAAACTCAAGACATTTTTATTCTGCTACTTAAAATACATCACCCCACTTTAGCATTTCTTTACAGCTTTTACTTGACTTTAAAAAGGCGGTCGCTAACAAGTTGCTAAATGGGACTACAGAGGCTGTCGGGACATTAAACATCACACCAAACAGGTAAACTCAATTTACTAGTCTGCTTTTATAGCCTTGTTGTGTTGTGCTCTTGCTAATTTTACTATATCGAACTTTAAGGGGAAATGTTTTTAAATAAAGACTAAACGAGTTGTTGGAAGCTTAATGGTGGTGTAGTTCCTTTATAGTCTACATTTAGCTTTTTACTTCCGGTGATTGCATTTAGGCTGCCAAATTTATAAAAGTTATGTTAATTTCTGAAGATTATAATAATGAACAAAGCGTGTAAGGATCATAAACTTTTGTTGGTCACAGAGCTTATTTTCTGCAATAATCCAAAAGCCAATGGAATAATCCTATTGCATCTTTGTCGAGTGAACCAGGGTAATGCTTGCTAACATAAAAAAATATGTCATCCTTGAGGCACTCAATGAATTTTAAAGCCAACAAATAAATGCCTGTCTTAACAAATTATAAGAAATGTGAGCAATTTACAATATATGATCCATCCTTTTTGAGCTGAGTAGGCAGAATGGAGATGAAGTCCACATACCTTTTGAAAGGAAAGAAACTAAGTACATAAAATAACTGAGCACAGCAAGTGCAAATATGAATAGTGCGAAGGAACGAGACTCACTGTGAAAGTGTTCGCTCATCATAAGTGACCGCACTGTGGTCAACAGGCCCTAGTACAGACACTGACAGAAGTAGAGGCTGTGTTTCTTTTTTAAATGCGCCTTTTAGTCTCTACAGACAAAATGGAAGCTTGTAATTAAAACACAATTTGTTGTTATTAAAGCGAAACTCAATTAAAAGTGTTTTGCCTGAAAACAATAGTCCTTGCCTTCAGAAAATTTGTGAGTAGCTCTGTGCTTCTGCTAGATTCGTCAGAAGTAGGGCCATCCAGCCAAGTCACGTCTAGACCATCTAAACTCTTGTCCTTTAAGTATGTCAATACCGTTTGAACAAAATTCTCAATGCTGGCCTCATTAGCAGACATCAGCTCCAACCTAAATAACGAATAACGATTCATGTTGAAATGGTAGTAAAAGAATATTATTGAACTGCTACCCCCTGCTGGTGAGAAGTTCAAACATAATACTACAAACTGCATCAAACTTCAGATCAGTGTGTACATCAAGAAAGACAACTCTTTAAAGAGAAAAGATGAGGAAAAACACAGGAATTGTGGGATAGATTAAAACAGCAGTACTTTAATCCCCTTTAAATGTCCCAATGTAACACATACGGTGCAAAGTTTTAAGCTGCAGGTAGTATAACTGTAATCAGTGCCGAATCTGCATACAGCTGGTTAAAAGCAATATGGTACAAAACTGCTGTACATACATGCTATAGAGTGAAATATTGTAGATAAAAGTTCAACATTTTGAAGGTGACCCCTTATTCTCATTTAAACAAATAATACATTTAACATTTCTATGCAATCTAGTGCAAAGTTTTTGTTACTTTTTGGCTCCTAAAAAGGAATGGTTTTCCAAAAAACTTGATGAAAAAATGATTTACTCACCCTCATTATAATTTATAAAATTTTTGTCTGTTTCTCATACAAAGCTATTGTATAGTTGTATGGTCTACTTTTTTACTGTATAAAAAATGGGTTTAAATGACACGACAGTGAATAAATGACAGAATTTTGGGAGAACTATTCTTTTAACATCTGCAAATTATCACAAATCAGACCCAAGCAGCCATACTTAACATCTGCTCAACACACATAGAGACAGAGCACTCATCTTTTAAATGAACAAAGCATATGAATTTTACAACATAAACACATATTTGTTTTGTCTGGCAGAATTTCTTGAAAAAAAAATCCAAAAGTAACATTTCAGATGGCATAACATATTAAGTTTTCAAAAATGTGGTGAATCCAGCTTTCCAGGTTTTAACTTAATACAATTTAGTGATAATATCATGTCACTAAAAACATATCTGCAGAGGACTGAGCAGCAGTTAGTCATTCATTCAATTGCTTCATCACCCCCACTAGTGGCAAAGAGAGAAACTGCATCAATGGTAACGTTCGGAACTGAATTCTACTGCCAAATATTTACTATGCATATAAAGGTAGTATGCAAAACAGAATGGATTATGCACCAATAAACTTAGAATGCTACATTGTCACATTTCAGTGAGTAATAATGTCTATAGTTATTTTGGATGTCTTGACTTTTAGTAGCAATGAGTCGATATGTTAAAAAGGCTAACATTTCTCACAACTCATCACGTTGAAGTCATATGCACTTCATTGTGAGATATAGTTTCCTGTTCATACATTTTGGGAGAACTGTTCAGATGTATCAGTATACACTACACAGAAAATGGTTATTTTAAATTGTAATAATATTTCACAATATTACTGTTTTTACTCTATTTTTGACCAAATAAATGCAGCCTTGGTTAGCATAAGATACTTCTTTCATAAACAAAACAAAAAATTACCTTAACTTTTAAATGCTAGTGTACATACTGCAGAAATACTAGTATGGTAGTATACAGTTCCGAACACAGTCGATCATAAATATAACTCAGTATAAACAACATTTAAAAAGAAATAACATATGGCAAAAAATAAAGAACACTGTCTATGTCTGAAAACAATAGCAGCATTAAATCGAAGACAATTCCACCATCGCTGGCTGAAAACCCTCGATACAGCTGTGAAAATCCTTCATTATTCACTCATTCAACACTCGGGAGAAAAAAAATTGCAAAAATTGTACCTTGTCACTACAGCAGTCCTTTCTGCGTTTACACTGGCACAAAAAATCCGATCTTTCGCTCACAAATGACACAGATCGGAGTTTGTTGCACACGTGTAAACACAAAAACCCGCACGAGATCCGATTTTTTTTCAGCCTGAGACTTCTGGACCATATTCACCCAAAAGGGTTTATGGTGGTACCCTAGGAATGCATATAATCACTCTCAGGTACTAATATGCACCCTTATAAAGGGGTAGAGAAGGTCTACTGGCCCAGTGACAAACTGTTGCACCCCTAAATGTACAATTTTTGTGCTTTTTTTCTGACAATGAAGGAAAGCCTTCATTTCACATATGACATTTTGGAGCGACACTGCCCTGAGTAAAGTAACATCTACCTGTGACCAAATCCTAGTGTATCAACTGCTATCGAAAACACTTGACATACCTTTATCCAATATCAATATAAAACCCTCTATTAACCCAAATTAACAGGAAAGAGGCAGATCACAGACATTCACTGACTTCTTACTCCAGGGATCTGAGGGAAGGAGGGGCTGAGATTTGAGTCTTTTCTGTGAAAGCAAGGAGGCCGTAAAACGGTATTAAAAAGGAGATCCATCCATCCATCCTTCCATCTCCACATTGGCAGGTGAAGCCACCGACTGGCAACTACAAATCTATTAGAGATGAAGGAGCCAATCAAAAGTCACTGAGGATGCTGATGTCAGCAAACTCCTGATGGTAACGGTAGGAGTACATGCCCAGCAAGAAGGCCCATTTAAGAGTCATGAAGCTCCACACAGCTGATAGATAGAAGCTCTTGGGGTCAGTTATTGCTGAAGACAAAAACATACAGAATGCATTACAGACAGCACACTATCCACTTTAAACATGG